TCTCAGTCTCTGAGAGTGACCCGGCGGGTTCGCGCGGTTTCGGGTTCCGGAGAGTTTCAGGCCAGGAGGGTAGGTCGGGCCCCAAGTCCCTGACCACGGTTGCACCAGAGTAGTTTTATAAGCCCCACGGGGTCTTCGCTTCTGGGGGACGGGACCGAGAAGGACGAACAGTGCCCTAACCGCCCCTCGCCTCCCCCTCGGGAGGAGGGCTGAGCGGTCCTCACCGGGCTGAACCGGAGCAGCAGTTCGAGTTCACCCCTGCCGGGGGTTTATGCTTTCTCTCAGGCCCCTTAGTGGAGTTCGGAGGAACTCTTGAATGCACGGGATTGGAAAGAAAATTATCAACGGCCCAGTGCAATGTGTTTGAGCCTTCCTTGACATTTTAGGGGGGGGAGGTTGGAAATGAGGGGCAATGAGGTGGCCCGCAGACAAACAAGTTGAAATTCGGTTTTGGTGAAATTTTAGTAAGCTAGGGTTTGTGGTCAAGATCTGCGCAGGATTATGTAAAATTAGGTTTAAAAGCTATTTGAGGCTCGGATACAGAAGAGGACTGGGGATGTGAGAATTTTATCCCCGAGGCTGGCGTTGCTACCTTCATTTCCAAACGGACTATTGTGAAAGTGGTTTAGAACGCTTTGCTTTGCTGTTCTAGGAATATTTTTAAGTGAAAAGAAAAAAAAAAGCAATAGCTAATAGAACTTAAGTTTCTGGTATAGAAATGTTCTCTGTGTATCATAAATATAACATTTTCTGATTTAAAAGTTTGTCGAGGGCAATTGGCCCTCATAATTTTCTTAATGGAAGGGAAATAGAGTGAACTGATACAAAATGATGAAAACATTGCATAATATTTTATGCAATATGTATGTTGGAAACTGGGGAGAATGGCTAGTGGTCACCAATGGATTTTGTGTAAGGCACAGGGTTTTCAAGGGTCTGTACCAATTGCTTTCATTTTTGGTACAAGCCAATGATAAAATCACTATAAGAAAATATCACCAGAGGTGCTTGTGTAAATGATGAGATCCACTTTTGTATTTTAAAAAGGCCAGATGAGTATCAAGGCCTTCTTTGTAGACCCTATTTTCTTACTTTCCCCCTTCTCCTTTTGGATTAGGATAACTAGAAGTGTGGGTGAAATGAAAATGTGGGATTGGGGTAAATGAAATAAGGCAAGCTGTTTTGCTGTATGCTCCCAGTCCTTACGTTAATTCTGGTATGTATAGCATTGCACTGATTTTGCAGAGCTTAGTCATAATCCCTCTTCCACTCTTTCATAAAGGATTTACAAACCTTTCTGAGCCACATAATTAAAATTGGTTTAGTGTTACCTTCACGTGGTTTTGTGAAGGTTGGATGCTAATTTATGCAGTACTCTAATATTGAGCTTGGTGTGTGCTAGTCATGAGACTTTTAACAACACATGTATGTGTGTGGTTTTTTTTTTTTTTAAACTGGTGATCGAACTTGGGACCTTGGCGTTGCCACTGAGCTAAATCCCCAGCCCTGTGGTTTTAACATATATACATAATTAACATTGTGCCAGGTATAGTTGTGAGAGTTTTACTAACATGAACTCATTTACTCATTTAACCCTTCTCTCAGCAATCATAGGGGTAGATATGTTGTCCATATCTTGTAGATAGAAACTAAGACACAGTAGTTAACGTTTCTAGAAAGTGACCAAGTTTGGATAAGAAACATTTTGGCTCTAGAATTACTCTCTTTCCCAAAAGTGGGTTTTGCTGTGATAAAAAAGACTGGCTTGAAAATCCTGGGCTCAGGTAATCCTTCTGTCTTCCTAGTAGCTTGGACCTCAAGGGTCTGCCACTATGCCTAGCTTTAGAATTAGCTCTTAACCTGTGTAGCCAGATCTTAGTTCATGGGGATCTAAGATAGTACAATCCTGCAGTTAAATGAACTTGGATATAATGGCCTGCTGACTTTCGTTTTGTTTTGTTTTTTGAGAAAGGCTCTCACTATGTAGTTGAGACTGACCTGGAATCCACTATTTAGCCCAGGTTGGTCTAGAACTCACAGCGACCCTCCAGCCTCAGCCTCCCGAGTGTTGGGATTACAGGCGTGCACCACCACGCCAGGCCAACCTGCTGACTTCTAAATTCCTTGAATTTGAGGCTGGAACTTGAGCTGCCCAATCTTGCACCGGCTATTTTATTTATCTTTCAGACTTTTTTGTACTGCCATGTGTATTTTGACATAATATAGCTAGATAAATAGATCTGAAGTTTTTTATTTCAAGGGTACTTATCTACTCAACTGGGTATATAGTAGAGGGCAGAATTCATTATTTTTAAGGCACTGCAAAAAGCTTCAAGAAGAGTTGAGCTCTAGGTGGAGGAGGCTGTTTTTTAGATAAGCGTGCTTGTGGGAGGTTAAAGCTGGAGAGAATGGTTGGGATCACATTAGGAAGGACTTAATATGTCATGGTAAGGAGTTTATACTGTTTGTGAACAACAGAAAGCTCCTGAGGCTCCGCCAATTGAGAGCTGTCTAGTGGCTGCTGGAAAGCACAGATACCAACAGAAGCTGTAGAATAGGCTAGGTTAGGAAGAAAAAGAGCTTTAAAAATTAAGAGCCTGGGAATGGGTGGGAGAATCATAAAAGATTTTCTGTGAGTAGGAAGATTTGGATGCAAGTTCAAAGAGTGATCAGGAGGATGGGGAAGGTGCAAGGTAATGTGGTTCTGCCTGACTTGTTTATTATAGCAGAGTAGGTAGTCTTTGTTCTTTATCCTTCTGTTACATTGTATTTCCCTTTGTGCTACTTTTTAAATCTTTTTAAGGAGGATACTGTAATGTTTTCTATTTATATCCAATCTAAATTTTGGATAATGTTCAAAGTGTTAGTGTCTTCACTTTGCTTATACCATGCTTATCCCCAACTGATGATCATCTTGTTCTCTTTAATCATGAAATGTCCATTATTACTCTCTTTGCTATAGATCTGAATCTTACCCATTTTCAAGCATACAGCTTTGGTTCATGAAACTTCCTAATCACTTTAAGCTGTGTTAAAGAATAACATTTGTTTTCACACTTTGTTTTCCTGAAGTTTTCTCAGGGCCTTCTAGGGACTAGGAACTTCCCAGCAGTACCAGTTACATCTCTAGCAAGCATGTGCTGCTTTATTATGCAGAAAGACAGTTTAGAAGTCTCCATTTAACACATGGCTTGACAAAATGTTCCGTGGCTTAAAAAACCTTGCAAAGCCAGTGACAAGACTGTTCCTTATTCGCAACAACTAAGCTGATTTTTTACACTTCCTAATTATATTTTTCATTTAATATTTTAATGATTTAGCATAATCACTGTTAGCCATAATTGTTGTTATATTTGAAATGTTAGTGCGATGTAAATGTTGGAAAATACATTTCTTTCATCAGTTATCCTTGTCTTTATCTTTTGTTTTAAAATTTATTCTTTTCTATTTGGCACTCAAGAATGACCAAAAAAAGGAAACGCCAAGATGATTTTCAAAAAGTAAAACTAAAAGTTGGTAAAAAGAAACCCAGGTTAGAAAATGCTACTGTTACAAACTTTAAAACAAAGAGTATACATCTGCCTGAGCAACTCAAAGAGGATGGAACACTTCCAACAAACAATAGAAAACTCAACATAAAGGTAACTCAGAAACCTTGTTTTGATTAAGATTTTCTTGAAATCATGTAGTGTTGTTTTTATGAAAGTTAACTTTTGAGTCATTTACCTAGGGTTTGTTTCGTGATATTTGTGGTTTATCTGTTATTTACATCTTATCTTGTACAGCATCATTCCCACCTCCTCCACAAAGGTTTGCTAAACTAAACTCATCATGACTTCTTCCCTAGTGAACTTATTTCATGATGTAATATATATCATCTGGAAATAATTTTATATTTATTTTTCAGAGGGGTGGTGCTGGAAATTGAACCTATGCTAGGCAAGCACTTACTGCTTTTTAAATTTTTATTTCCAGACAAGGGCTCACCAAGTTGTTCAGGCTGGCCTCAAATTTGTGACCCTTCTTCCTCTTAAGTAGCTGGGATTATAAGTGTGCTCCATCTTACCTGGTGTGTTTAATTTTTTGTTGTGTTTGAGCTGTCATGTTTTTGATGAACAATACTGAAGCTGTTTTTATAGCTGATTAAATAAGATCCTGTTAACACTGTTCATTTTTGAACCCGTATAGCACATAGGTTATTATAGTAGGTTCATATTACAGGTTGAGTGTACCTTATCCAAAATGGTTGGGAACAGAATATTTGAATATTTGCTATGCATTATGAAATAGCTTGGGGATAGAAGTCAAGTCTAAACAGAAAATTGTATTTATGTGTCATGTATACCTCATGCACATAGAAAGTAACTTTTTACGATACTTCTAATGTCTTTGAGTTTGACATATGACAAATTACATTAGGTCACGTGTGAAATTTTACACTCTTGGTGTCATGGTACTCAAAAAGTTTCATATTTTGGATTATGGATTTTGAGATTAAGGATGCTGTCTTTTAAGTGCTTACTATCAATTGGAATTTAAGCATTAAATTTTAACAGCTTTTTAAAGATGTATGCTTACATAATAAAATTCACTCATTTAATGTGTTCAGTGGTTTTTAACATTTACAGTTATGCTACTACTATAATAATAGAACTTTTAAAAAAAATCGCACCAGAAAGAAACGCTTTACCCATTGGAAGTCTGTCCTTTCCTTTTTACCAGCTATAGGCAACCACTAATTTGCTTTTTTTTTTCTTTTCTGTAGACTTGTCTTTTGTTATTGATATTTCACATAACAGCAGTTTTCATGTTTATCCGTATTGCAATTTGATCAGAATGATACTTTATTCCTTTGTAAGCTTGAATATTATTCCAGTGCATGGTTATGTTATATTTTGGTAATCAGTCCTTCATGGACATTTGCTTTGTTTTCCTTTTTGGCTCTTAATGAATAATACTTTTATGAACATCTGTGTACAAGAGTTTATGAGAATATACATTTTCAAATTTTGCTTTTTTGGCTCTAAAGGTCAAATAACAAAATATGTGTTTAAAATTGTCAAGTAGTAGCTTCTGGATAAAATAGATCCCTTGAAAGATGATTTTAAAATAGGCAAAAAGGGCTTGAAGGAGTGTATGAATACACTTACTGTAATGTTTGTCACATGGTAGAGCTGCAGTGAATGATAGTGTTTATTGCTGTCACTTTAAAATCATAGCATGTCAAAGCATATACAAATTGTACTATGAAAAGAAACTCTTAATTCAAATTATGTAATGTTTTTATTAAGCTGAAAATATTTCAAAGAAAAAATTACATTTCTTAATAAAAGCTAAATATCAACTAAAATACTGATACAGTTTACACAGGGAGTGCAGTATTAGAGTAATTAAATTTATCGTATTTATTTGAAAATGATAATGTGTATATATGTATTCACCTAAAATCTGTATATTTATTTATAGGATTTGCTGTCACAGATGCATCACTACAATGCTGGGGTTAAACAAAGTGCTCTTCTTGGACTTAAAGACCTTTTGTCTCAGTACCCATTTATAATTGATGCACACCTTTCAAACATATTAAATGAAGTGGCTGCTGTGTTTACAGATAAAGATGCTAATGTACGATTAGCAGCAGTTCAACTTCTTCAATTCCTGGCCCCCAAAATACGAGCTGAACAAATTTCTCCATTTTTTCCTTTGGTAAGTGCCCATCTCTCTAGTGCCATGACTCACATTACTGAAGGAATTCAGGAGGACTCTTTAAAAGTTTTGGACATTCTGCTGGAACAGTACCCAGCTCTAATTACTGGCCGTAGCAGTATATTGCTTAAGAATTTTGTAGAACTTATTTCTCATCAGCAGCTGTCCAAAGGACTGGTAAATAAAGACAGATCCCAGTCCTGGATACTTTCTGTAAATCCTAATCGGAGACTCACTTCTCAGCAGTGGAGGCTGAAAGTCTTAGTGAGACTCAGTAAATTCCTTCAGGCCTTGGCAGATGGATCCAGTAGGTTGAGAGAAAGTGAAGGACTTCAGGAACAAAAAGAAAATCCCCATGCCACTAGCAACTTCATTTTTATCAACTGGAAGGAACATGCCAACGACCAGCAACACATCCAGGTTTATGAAAATGGGGGTTCACAGCCAAATGTCAGTTCACAGTTCAGGCTACGGTAAGAAGGATTTCAGTTATGTCCACACTCAGTTTTCCTATATTGAATTCTAACTACTGACCATTGGTAGCTAATGGTGGGAGGACATGCAGTTGTCTTTTATAGTTTTCATATAGTTACTCATGATTTAATTTGATGACTCCTGATAGGAGTCATTTGAAATTATATTTATTTATTCATCTCTAGCAAAGCCTAATGAGAAATAAAACTTGATAATCTTTGTTGGCTTTGTCATCTTAGAATTTCATTTTTCTTACTAGTCTTGATCAATGTAATTATCCGTTCATGGTGCTTTATTTTACTGGTATTTTGTATTGGCTTAAATAAGGGATAATATTTTTTAGTCATTAACTTTTTTTCCCCTTCTTATGTTTCCTTATTAGATACTTGGTTGGAGGACGAGGTGCTGTGGATGAAGGTCTGTCATCTCCTGAAAACCTGAAAGGATTTATTGAGATAATAATTCCATTGCTAATTGAATGCTGGATTGAAGCTGTGCCTCCACAGCTGTCTGCTTCTGTTGGAAATGGTATAGAGCGAGAACCACTACAGGTTATGCAGCAAGTCCTTAATGTCATTTCTCTTCTGTGGAAACTGTCTAAACAACATGATGAAACCCATAAATTGGTGAGTACTAATGGCTTATTTTATTAGTCGTACTTTTTATCATGGGGGGGAAGATTAGAAACTAACATATTACTATATATTGATTGGGTTTTCCAAAAATGTACCCAGGGTTTAACAAAATGTCTTTCCTTTGCACAAAATCACAAATGAAAATAGCTTTGTGGTGTTGTTATCTGTGAGTAGAATTTTAATGAAATGCCTAACAGTTTGCATTTTTATTAGATATAATTCACAGTAGTGTCAACATGTAGGAACATTCTAGTTTCTGAACAGGTTCTTTTTTTTTTTGGTACTGGATATCAAACTCAAGATCTTGTGCTTGTGAGGTTGGTGTGGTGCCACTGAGCTAAATCCCTGGCCCAGAACAGTCTCTTATAGGCATACAAAAGCTGCATATTAAGTATTCCATCTAGTTTGTGTCATATTGCCAAGTTTAGCAAAAATAAAACAAAACAAAAGAAATTGAAGAGCTCAGTGAATGTAATAACGTGGTGTATTATCTACTTTTACTGTTCAGCTAAGGAAGAACAAGATTAAACTGGTGCTAAATTGATATATTAGCACTCCTAAAAGGGCAACAATAGGAATAATACTTTATAAAGTTTGGAGTATCTGG